TGATTTTTTTTTTTTTTTTTTTTTTTTTTTGTTGTGACAGAGTCTCCGCCTTTGTTGTCCCAGGCGTAAGTGAGTGGCCGTGGCGTCCCCTAAGCTCACAGCAAACCTCAAACTCCCTGGACCCAGTGACCTCCTGCCTCAGCCCTCCCCGAGTAGCTGCGGACTACAGCCATGCGCCACCCATGGCCCAGCTAATTTTTTTTTTCTAATATATATCTCAGTTGGCCAATTAATTTCTTTCTATTTATGTATAGACGGTCTCGCTTTGCCTCAGGCTGGTTTTGGAAAGTTCTTCGTTTCTCCTGACCCTTGAGCAATCCGCCCGCCCTCCGGGCCCTCCACGAGCTAGATACAGGCCGTGAGCCACAGCGGCTTCCGGCCCGGGTGTTGAAATCTTTTTCTGTGAGCACTGTAGTCCCCAGCTACTGCGGAGGCTGGGCAGGAGGATCGCTCCAACCGCAGAGTTGGGAGGCTGCAAAAGTGAGCTGTGTTCCACCCCTTTGCACTCCCAGCCAGGGTGACAAGTGAGACCCTGTTTGGAAAAAAAAAAAAAAGTAAAACATGAGGTCGTAATAAATAAATGCAAAACACGTGGCTGTCAATTTCACCTAATTACTTCTTCTTTCTGTTTCTCAGATAACAGTAGAAAGTCCGAGTTAAATGAGTCCACCCACCACATCGCACCGTACTTCACTGCCAAGCGTGTTTGTATTAATATTTCCGTGTTTGTAGTTCAGTGAGGGTTTTTGGAGAAACGAGAGTCAAAGGTACATGTCGTCCTCACCCATCTCTTTACAACCACAGAGCACCTCAAGGTTTTAATAGGCAATCTGGACCTTTCATTCCCAAACCGTGAATTTACCCCCGCGGGAAAAAGAAAAACCTAAATAAGACTGAAAATTGCTGCACGTCCATTAGCAGAGTCAGAAATGTCAAATACCAACGTGCATTGCGGCGTACACTGTTGCAGAGCTGAGTACACATGGAACTCCGATCTTCACAAAAGAAAAGGTTTCATTAACCCATGACATTCCTTCCAAATCTCCCAGGGGCCCCAGGGCAGCACGTGTTCCACGTAGGGTCTTTCGAAAACAAGACTAGAAACGGGCGCTAGGCCTGCGGGGTGCCAAAACCAGGCCATGACCCGCTGACGGGTGGGGGCCGTGGAGAACCCGAGAGGGGCCGTCCTGGTCGTTCCGCCGGCACCCTGCCAAGCTGAGGCGTGAGCGACCGGCTGAGACGGTTTCCCCGATGGCAGGGCCCGTCTCCTGCCCCGCCTCTGGTTTCGTATCATTGCACACACGGTGCCCAGGGGCACAGAGAAAATCGCAACCCCTCACCCTCCCAGGGGCAAGTGGTGAGGTGATGCACGTGTGTGAGTGTGTGCACACATGTGTGTGCATGTGAGGTGGATGTATGTGCACGTGTATGGTGGGTATGAGTGTGTGCACAGCTGTGCTGTGTATGTGTGCTCCTGTGTGGTGTGTGCATGTGCGGTGTGCATGGAGTGTGTACATTGTGCACCTAGTGCAGATGTGTGCATGTGTGTATGTGTTTAGTGTGTGCACATGTGTGCATGGATGTATAGTGCATAGGTATGTGTATGCATGCATGTCACATGTTGGTAGGCATGCATGCATGTGTAGTGTGCATGGGTTTTTATGTGGTGCATATTTACTGTGTATATGTGCACATGTGTGCATACTTTGTGATGTTTATGTGTGCATGAGTGTGCCATGTATTTAGCATGCACATGTGTTCATGCATGTGTCTGAGGCGTGTAGTATACATGTGTTCGAGTGCTTGTGTAGTGTGTATTCGGTGAGTATGTTTGTACATGTGTATATGTGTGCACATGTATGATGTGTTTAGTGCATATGTACATGTAGTTTGTGCACATTTGTTTGTGGTGTGTGCAGGTGTCCATCCATGTGTGTACATGCTTGTTTCTCTGATACGTATGCATGTGCATGCATGTGTGCACACATGTGCCCATGCTGTGTGGTATGTAGTGTATGCATGCACATGCGGTGTGTACTTGGTGGGCATGTGTGCACATGTGAGATGCATGTAGTGCAGCTTGTGCTAGCATGTGTGTGGTGTGTACCTGCGTGCTGGCCCATGTGCCGTGCATGCTCGTGTCTGTGGCGTGTGTTGGTGGGAGGAGGCTGCTGGGCACACGAGGGCATCAGCACGGGTCCATGCAGTTATTTTAGTCCAGTGGAAGACCCGACACAATCCCCTCAGGGAAAGCACCCCATCTTTGTGCTTTTCCCCTGCCCCTTCTCCTCCAGTGATGCCTGGGCTCTGAGGGGACTCCACGTGCCTCCCAGGAAGGGGAGCGGAGGGCAAGGGTGCCAGTGCTGTCCATTGGTCCCTTGTCCATCCCCCGGGACTTCCTGGGGGCTGCGGGGGCTCGTGGCCGATGTGTGTGTCCAGCGACCTCCGTGGTGTGGCCAAGGGCAGTCGGTGCTCCTGCTGCCCCTCACTGCCCCCGCCAGTCCCTGCGTGTCCTCCGTCCGGACCTGCACAGTCTGTCCAGGGCCTTGGCTGAGGCGTCATGTTGCTCCCTGCCAAGGGGACCCCAGGCTTGTTCAGGGGCGGGACCTTCACTATCAGTGCCACACAGGACCCAGGAAGGGCTGGGGCAGGGGCAGCGGCGCCCCCTCTCTGCCAGGCAGGCCTGCCCTGGCCGTGCGCACAGCTGGCTGTGGACACTCCCAGACCCCGCGTCTCCGTCTGGGCGCCCAGGACCAGATTGCAGCTTGCAAGCTTCCCTCCTTGCGGGAGAATCTCTCCCATTTGCAGAATCCGTCTCTACGGCGGCCAGAGGGTCGCATAGGAGAGAGAACTATTAAAGGAGGGAGAGCGGAAGTTCTCAGCCAGATGAACGCAGATTCTGCTCCTGGCTGCTCACAGTCCTCAGAGGACAGCTTTAGCCTCGTTGGCCTCAGTTTCCTCATCTGTGCAAAGTGGGGTGGTGCTGATGACGTCACAGGGATCCCAAGCCTGGGCAGGGGGTGGTCTGCAGGGACCCTCAGGGTCACCCATGTCCTCAAGCGCTGTGACACCCTGGTGGCTGCCTGCATGGGGAACATGGGTCTCGGAGAACAAGAATGGTCACGGTGGGTCTCAGGGTCTCCTTTATTCCGGAGCAAAAGTCCGGACAGCTCTGCCCGTGAGGGACCCTTGGCAAATGTCAGTGCACTCTTTCCATTGTCACCGCCGCTGGTGGGGCTGTGTGTTCTTTGGCATCCGGGGTGTGGTTTTCAGGGACTCTGCTCCGCATCTCACCGTGCACGGGACACCCCACCCCAGGGAGCCCCCACGTGTCAGCAGGGCTGTGGCTGGGACACCTGCCTGAGCAGCAGAGACGCTCTGTCTGTCTGTCTGTCTGTCCAGCTACTTGTCATCTCATCGTTTCACCGTCTTATCTACCTCAATGTCTGTTTGTCTAGATGGATACAGACACATTTCCATCACACATACTGCATTAATATACTTATATGTGCACGTGTGTGTGTACACGCATTATGCTTGTGTATGGAATACAGACGCATAATGTATGATATTTTACATTATGTAATACATATATTTTACATGTGTAAAAACATGTCTGTATATGTTAAATATATAATGGAAAAATACACTTAAAAGAACGTGTGTGCATATGTGTTTATGTTATACACGCATATATATATAAAATTATGTTGGTAAAAGAATACATATTATATAAACATATGTAAACACACAAATAAATATATTAATATATAATGTTAATATATTATATGTATATGAAATATATGTGTATTATATAACATAAAATGTTATGTATATATCATATATAACAAATATATATTTGTATCATACGTAATGAATGTATCATATATAACATATATGTATCATCTATAACAAATATATATGTATATAGCATATATAACAAATATTATATATTATGTGTATGTATAATATATAAAACACACACACAAATAAAAAGTGTATATATACATATGCTCTTTCACATATATACATATATATATATATATATTATATATATTTTTTTTTTTTTTTTTTTTTGTAGAGACAGTGTCTTGCCATGTTGTTGAGGGTGGATTCGAACTCCTGGATTCCAGGGATCCTTCCACCTCAGCCTCCAGAGTAACCGGGACTATACATGTGTGCCACCATGCCTGACTCACTCTTTTAATATATACAGTATATACATATATATGTGTACAGAAACACACTTAAAAGAGTGTGTATACTATGCATACACATTACACATATATACATATAAAATGTGTGTAAAATATATATTAATATCATGCACACATGTATATGCCCACATGTGTACATATCTCGTCTAAATCTCAATTGTGTGGTGCAGGGTTTGTACTTCAAAAATTCTAAGTCATATGTTAAAAATATGAGCACCACAGACACAAAAGGAATGCGCAAAAGTTAGCTCTTCCTCTGAACCGTGGTCCCAGTGTGTGAGGGTGCTTTGGGCAGCTCAGTGACCTTACAAACGCTGGGTCGGGAACACACTCCTACAGCCCCACCTTGAACGAGGGTGGGAGGGGTGAGGTCTGGTGTCAGACATTTGATTGGACCAACATGCACCAGTTAAAACAAATCCCACTTCAGTCCTGTGGAATGACTCTGAGGCATGTGGTCCATACAGGTGAGTTCACCACTTTATGACCCGGGTTGTACGTTGCAGGTCATAAAGTTTGCATAAAGATCGCACCTGTTATGTGCCCCGTGTACTGTGGGACGCTTATGTGGTGTCTGCAAAGTTCTTCTGCCCTCCTGGGAAGGCTCTTGCCTCTCTCTGTGTGGCCACCTTTCGGTTCATCTCAGAGAACCAGGTGACAGAACTTTACCCTACCACCTTGCTTATTTTATTTTGACTCTCAGATCATTCCTTGAGTTTTTCGTTCATGAATGCGTTTATTAGATTACTGCATCTCGGTGGCCGCCAGATTTTTAAACTCAACAAGGATGGAGACTTTTCCTGCTCACATTTCCTGCTGTATTCCTTTGCGTCTAGTGCACTCCTGGGCATACAGTACTGACTCAAATAAATATTGGTTGCAGGAGAAAAATACTAAGTGGAAGGTATATTCTATTTCTTTAAAGGGAATTTGGCAACAAGGAGTAGTCGGTGCTTTTCTTACTCAGGCTGAATTTCTGTATTCTCTGGCTTACCTCACCTTAGGTGTAAACATGGGAAATGATGGGATGAAAGAGGTCTGCAAGAGAGGCTTGTCCATTCCGGGCGACAACCGTAGAAAGAAGAAAGGCCAGGGGACCGTGGTGACACTGGAGAGCTTGATGTTTAAGATCTGCGGTTCTAGAAGGGAGAGAGGAAATGTAAGAGGAACGTCAAGATGCTGCAGAGAAATGTCACCCTCACTCCATAACGGGCAAGGTGCAAAGACAGAGAGGGGTGTCTGTCACTGGTGTCATTCGGTCCCCAGGTTGCTGTCCTGCTGGGAGAGGCAGATGGACGTGCTTGCCTCCAAGCCTGTGAGATAAAAGAGAAAGACATTGCTCAGAAATGGTTCCTTCGGGGCATTAAATGGGTTGCCCGTTTGCATTTTCTCATTTCACTATCGTAACTAAACCTGACGTGTAACCCAAAAGCAATCTTTTTTCTCTTCTTTCTTTTTATTAAACACAGAGTTCAATATTCTCTTCATTACAGAAAAAGAATATGAGAAAAGAAGGAGAAGACTTATGCAAAGCCAGATGGGAGGAACCGGTGTAACCAGGAATTTCCAAAGGTTTGGCTGGTTATATGCCTGCTGCATCTGTCCTGTTCTGGTTCAGATTTCATGCGGATTTGAAGCCCCGGAAGACAAGCACAAGCACGCATTGTCTTTGAGGAGACTGATGCTAATTGCTCAATACACTCGGAGATGGAGTTTCAATCGCTGATAATGAGCTGGGCGTTCTCCGGGAGGACTTCTGGAAAGGTTGTGGTCACTAATGCAGAGGGAAAAGACCGCATGAAAGCTCATCACCATGAAGAGCCTCTGGAAGTTTTCTCATTAAGAATTTAGATGTATGGCAAGACTGAAGCACAGAGGCAGAGAAACAGGAAACTTAACTGAATATTTGGGTGCACAAATGATCTGAGATTTTTTTGTGTTGTTAATATGTATCAGCTGCAAAAGCCTCAATAAACTATTAGAAATGGCTTCATTGATCTATTTCAGGGGTTACCAAACTTATGGCCCGAGGACCGAATAGGGCCCACTCCTTGAGTTTTTAAATAAAGCTTTATTAGAACACAACCACACCCATTCATTTACATATTGGTGCTGTCCATGGCCATTTCCTGCTATGGGACAGGGGTGAGCATTTTTGAGACAGATCTTATGGTCCAAAAGCCCAAAGTATTTACTCGTTTGTTCTTTGCAAGAAACTTTTGTTAACATTTTCTTGATTTGATAAGCTCGTCCATCTTTTAGACAGGATCTCCACATAACTGTGCTTTTACAGAAATGAGATCATCACTTGAGAAATTTCACTTTTTATTTGTAAAGTTGGAATAGTTGTTTTCTTTATACTATTCATATTTCATTGGAGTACATCATTATTGTTTTTAAATGACCAAAACAATACCATGAGAGCTAATTTGACAAGCTATGGATATAATATATATATTCTCTAGTGTTAGGGACCGGCTTCCTGCACCCCGCCAGGCAGACGAACAAAGACACCAAGGATGCAATCACTCAAGAGGAGCTTTATTTTCTGGCTAGCCAGGGTCCAGGCCCTAGAGTGCCAGCGCAGTGGCCGCTCTTACAGGCAAGGACCCTGACCAAAGCTGGGGCTCCCCTTTTATCCCCCCACCCTCTTGAACACCCGCGCTGTACAAGCTGATTGTGCGTGTTAGTCTTTAAAATGATTGGTGGACTGGTAGCCCGCCAGCGGCAAAGGGGGCTTTCTCCCTTATCTGGCCCCATACCTATGCGTCCAGCTGCAAGCAAGCGATTCTCAGAAGCAGAAATATGCGTTTAGCCGATAGCTCTACCTTTGGGCCCCAAGCTAGCAGTTTCCAGGAGCCGATTACTCCTCCCCTGGGCCCATTTTCTGTTATCCGGGCTCGCACAAGTGAGCCAGCAGCTTTGGGGTGCAATCAGGCCCTTACACTAGCTAGTGTTTGGGTTACTCTACCTAAACAAGTTTTCTTCTTTTTAAGAGAGACTGAAATTTTCACATAGATTTGTATGTGCAATCTTCAAGTATTTTGAGTTTAATATTTTTTGATCAACTAATTTTCACTGGAAGACAAACTTGTCCCCCCCAAACCCCCAGACATGCCTTCTTAGTCCTTCCTTCTAAATATAGTTTGGCAAAAATAAATAAGAAACAAGAAAAACAGTTGAATAAAGATGACTCATTTTGCCAAATCTAGAAGCAATTGAAGTCTTACAGCATTTGAACTTGAACTAATACTTCTAGGCTTTTTCAGAAAAAAATTGGTAATGTATAAGGTTTTCTTTAAAAAATTTGATGTCCACAAAAGAAATTAAAACTTCATTGGGCTTCAAATAGTTTTCATACTGTACTTTTTTAATGCATTAAAGTTTTAGCAAATCTCAAATAACCATTATCCATAAAACATGTATAGGCTGAAAAACATAACAATGGAAAATAATTTGAGGTTGGGCAATTAGCTCTTTTCCCTAAGCCTTCAAGATACTATGGATCATCAATGATGTCTGATCTTTATAAATGTCCTGTTATTTTCTTCCTTCATAATTACTGGGGCCACAAGAGAGAAAATCGTTTTGCTCACTGCATCAAAAGCCCCAGTACACAAGTTTCTGCCCCATCTTGTTGTTTCCTTGGTGGTGGGGAAACTTAAACAGATTTTGTACTCTACTATTTTAAAACGAAGGGATTAAATAAGATGTCTTAGTCCATGCAGGCTGCTATAACAAAATGCTACATCCTGGGTGGCTTATAAACAACAGGCATTCATTGCTCACAGCTCTGCAGGATGGAAGTGGGAGATCCCGGCGTGGCAGGGGCTGTGTCTGGCGGGGACTCACCCCCTGGTTCATAGACGGCGCCTTCTCACTGTGTCCTCACATGGTGGAAGGGGCAAGGGAGCTCTCTGGGGCCCCTTTTATTATAAGGACCCTGGTCCCATCCATGAGGTTCCATCCTTAGGACCTTGTCACTGCCTAAAGGCCCCACCTCCTCATACCATCATTTTGGGGGTGAGGATTTTAACATAAATTTGGGAGCACACATTCAGACCATAACATAGGAAGAACACCAATTTTCTAATTGTATGACCTTTCCTTGAATTACCAATTTATTCTAATGTGTATCTATTTTTGCTTTATCCCTGTAGACATTAGCACCCACCCCTAGAATAGCCAATTCCCTCAATTTTCTGAATTTGGTCCATTCTTTGAAGGTCCTACTCAAAGGCCATCTCCCCTATGAAATGTTTTGAGATCCTTCTTATCACCCTTGTCCCCCAAGAACAAAACAATCTAGCCATTCTCTAGACTTTTGAAGAACTGTGGATCTTGGGTTGGTCTGCCCTAGAAGCACATGTGGATTTAGAGATTTTCCTGGCAGTCGTTTATTTGGGAAGGGGTATTAGAAAGCCTGATGATGGTGGAGTGGGGTTGTGAGACCAAGAAAAGAAAAGAAAATAGCCCGAAGGAAGGAGCTACTATAGACAACTGAAATTCCCTAGCCCTGGGGGACTCAGGGTTGTTCCCCTGTGGCATGAGGAAGCCGGGCTATTTATTCTCCAATTCAATAGTGGTTGAGGAGTGCCCCAGTCTCCAGCTCCCTAATGCTTTGTCCTGCCTCACTCAAGGGCAGAGAAGAAAAAGCTCTGGAGGATGTCTCAGGAGCTTTCTCCAGGATGCAGTTGGGAAGAATGAGAAATGGTGATGAGGACAGGGCACAGATGAAGTTGTCTCCACTGTGTGCACCTCATGACTCTCATCTCAGTCTCTGAAGGGTTACCTGTGCTCCAGTCTCATGTCTCAGAGCCCCCAGGCTCATAAGCTTCTCTGAAGGCAGGGATCCTCTTGCAGCCTGGTGACACCAGGAGTCACCAGCAGGTGTATCTGAGAAGGTTGGCTATTCTAAGCCTGCGTTTCCAAGAAAGGTCTACTAGAGCTCCACGCTGCCCTTCCTTGTGCCTTCATGTCCTTCCTAGCTCTGTGTCCTGCTTCCAAGTGCTGAGTCTCACCCTGTTCTCTCTTCTCTGTCACCAGAGGATTTCCATTGTCTCTCTGTTCCTTCTCCTCTTGGCGTTTTGACCTGGACTTCCTACCTCCACCTATTTTAGATCTAGGATTCATGCATATCCCACTGTTTCCCTCTCGCTTTGCCTAGAGTCCTCGTAGCTATCTTGTTTTTTATTCCCTTTCCACCAGTCTTTGTTTCCTACTAGCTAACCGGGCTCTTTGTAGATGTCCCCAGATTCCCTGATGCTCACACAAGCAGATTTTGAACCATACATGTCTCCTTTTGGTTAGATATTAAGAAGCAGAAGTGGTCTTTAAAAGGGCAGAGATAAAGAGCTGGAAAGAGGGAACATGGTATTTATCCATTTTGACGAAGTCACTTCCTAATTCTTCCAGATGTTTATTAAAGTCAGAAGGGATAGAAAGTGACTGTATAACCCAGTTAGCCAAAGAATCTGGTGATAAGTTTGAAAAATGAGAGAGATAATGTGATGCTTTAACTTTGTCAGTTGTTGGCTGAGTGCTGTCTTTAAACTCTTTTATTTCTTTCATGCTCACTGTTTCCTTTTAGGTTGGCATCTCCTGAGTCAACTTGTCTTCTGGGAGACTGGGAGATATTGATCCCATCTTAGTCCAATCTGTGGATCTCCAGTGAGAAAATATGCCTGGCAGTCAGGAACCTGAGTTTCAGAAATAAGTAATAGTGGAGGGTTTTGTTTTGTTTTGTTTTACTACCCCAATTCAAATTGTGATGCTGGGCATGAAACCCAATTGTTTCATCTATATTTTAGGTAAAGCATAAATCCCATGCATTTGGAAAAAAATTCCCAAGCAATATTGAAAATACCCATTAATATACTTCCTGTATAACATGAAATTAATCATATTACATTGGACGCATTACACTTTGCTTATGTTACACCCATATTGTAGAAGGAATTTTGTCCCAAAGTCATCTGCCTCTTCAGTGCCTTGTACCCACATGTACCCAACTGCAATGAGATTATTTTATCATGCTGCAGTTAAATGCCTTGTGTGAAGGAAAATGTTACATGAAATAAAGACTGGGTCATGATTAGTGCACATTGCAGGGGGAACTAACAAGAGAATTCATTAATTTCATAAATGCATAGGCTTATTTTTCTCAAAGTACTTGCTTTTTTTTTGAGTAGGAGCCTTTATTCTTAAGGACGTTAGA